AGGCAGGAGAAAGGATAGGCAGGGCTGGCAGGCAGAGAGAATAAATAGAAGGAGAAATCTGGGAAGAGCGAGAGGCGAGAAAAAGGAGTTAGAGAAGGAGGAGGACGCAAGGGGCCCAGCCACCCAGCCACAGAACCAGCAGTGGAGTAAGAGTGACAGACAGACAGAAACAGAAAAAGGTAAAAGCCCAGAGGCAAAGGGTAGACGGGATAATTTATAAGGAAAGCTGGCTAGAAACAAGCCAAGCTAAGGCCGGGCATTCATAAGTAAGAATATGCCTCTGTGTGTGGTTTATTTGGGAGCTGGGTGGTGGGCCCCCCAAAAAGTAAAGTGCTTAAGAGTAAAAAACAACAACAAATAAGTCTCCATCCATGTATTTATTTGGGAGCTGGATGGCAGATTTAAAAAAAAAAAAAAAAAACTAAGCCAGGTAGTGGTGCATGCCTTTAATCCCAACACTCAGGAGGCAAAGCCAAGTGGATCTCTGTAAATTCGAGGCCAGCCTTGGTCTACAGAGCGAGCTACAGGACAGGCACTAAAACTACTGTCTCAAAACAACTACAGTCAGTTCTGCTCCTTTAATCTTCTTGCCGCTTCATCATCCATCTGCCAGAGAGGCCCTCATTTACCATGCCGCTGGCTTCCCAGAGGGAGGGATAGGAAAGCCATATACAGGAAAACCAGCACTGTAACTATGGCTAAAACACGTCTGGCACTCTATACTGAGAATGTCATGGATGACACTTGGCTGGTGACCACTGTCCCTCACAGGGGCCCCTGCTCTGTAATGACTTGCTCTTTCATGTCTGTGTGTGTTGCTGTGGCAGGTCACAGCTGCCTTCCCACCAGAAAATGTCTCGTGACTTCCTGTGTGGCGTTCCTGGTGCTCGGAGTTGTCGCTACAGCGATTGCTGTTGGGATCACTTTCGGGATACTGACGAAGCCCGCAGGTATGTGTCTCCACACACGTGTATTTACACTGTATAGGTTTCCAAAATGGGTGAACCTATGGGTGGGGAGTGGTTGGCATGTGCTATGTGCCAGCCACCAGCCATTTGCACATCCTCTCTCTAGCCTCAACTCCTGCAAGGTGCCTGTTGTTACGGCGGTTACGACAGACACTGGGGGAGAGGAGACAACTTGCCCTGGATCATGTAGCTCTGAAGTAAACAAGCCTCCATTCTGACCCAGGTCAGCCTGACTCTGAAGTGTGCACAGGATATGGTCTCCACCTACAAGGGATTTCCACTCTAGAAAGGGCCACGGATGGTGGAATAGCGAGTGGATCATTAGGAGTAGAACTGGAGAGAAATCATCGAGGACTGGAGACAAGGGCCATGGGAATGAAGGAACTGAAATTGAGCTGAGCCTTGTAGGGAACCCTGAGTTAGACTGTTTCGGGGATGGAAAGGACATGGACTTTATTTCACATCAAACCTGAGGTATGTGAGGAAGAAGTATGAAAAAGAACACTGGGAAGCCAGGTCGGGTGTCATGGGGAGGTGCAGGTGGGTCACAAGGTCAAGCCAGCCTGGACTACATAGCAAGACTATCTCAAAACCAACCAAACAACAAACAAATGAACAAACAAACAGTGGCTTGAAGATGGCTCAGTGGATGAGGACACACTTGCTGCTGAGCTTCATGACCTGAGCTCAGTCCTCAAGCCCCACAAGGCGGAAGGAGAAAAATCAACTCCTGCAAATTGTTCTTAGCCCTCCACATGAGCATTGTGGCTGGCGGGTGCACACATGCCCACACGAGCACACGTGTGCTCAAATAAATGTAAAAATTAAAAACAAAGCCTCAGCATGAGTAGTCAAGAAATGGGTGTTGAATGAAAAGTGGTCCAGCATCATGTGACCACTGCAATTACATACACACACACACACACACACACACACACACACACTTGAACCAGCCCATCCATGTGAAGGGACTCTTCACACACGGGCCTTTATTAACCCTGTCCTGCCACGGGCATTAGACTAGCACCAGGGTTTAAGGGTCCCCTCCTGTGCTTGACCCCTCCCTTCTCCTTTATAGACATTGCCCCAGGTCCTAACTCCCCACCACAGCGTCACATCCCATCCCATCCCGGCATCAGTTCTTCAGAGGATCCAAACTGATACCAATTCCTTCAGATGACCAGAATAAGGATTCTAAACCCACAATGCCAGCACCTATTGGATCTGGTTTTATCTGCCTCTTAATTGTTCAAGATGAGAATGCACCCTCATCAAGCAAACTCCAAACCGAGTGCCTCAGATATTCCGCCACTCTGAACAGTCTTAAGGGATTGGAGGGGGGGGAGACACACAACGATGCAGAGACACAAGCGTGTTACTTTAACTGTGTAAAGGTGTGTTACATTTGTTTCTGCTGCATTTGTTTAATTAGGTAAAGATGTGTGGCATTTGCTTCACCCTGCCCGCTTAAGGCACCTGATGATCTAATGAAGAGCTGAACAGCCAATAGCTAGGCAAGGATAGGTGGGGCTGGCAGGCAGAGAGAGTAAACAGGAGAAGAAATCTAGGCTTGAGAGAAGCAAAAAAAAAAGAAGAAGAAGAAAGAAGAGAAGAGGGAGAAAGAGAGGGACGCACCCAGGGCAGAAGCTAGGCAGTGGCCAGCCAGACATGGAGACAGCAAGAAAGTAAGATATACAGAAGAAAGGTAAAAAGCCCCGAGGCAAAAGGTAGACAAAGAGAAGCAGGTTAACTTAAAAGAGCTAGCCAGAAACGAGCCTAAGCTAGGCTGAGCATTCATAACTAAAAAGAAGTCTCCATGTCATGATCTGGGAGCTGGTTGATGGTATAAAAGAAAAAGCCTGGTACACACCAGTATTTCTATAGTTTATCTTCCATCAGTTTTTAATTTTTTTTTCATAACACTTGAGATGTTTTAAAAGACCTTTCAAATAAGTAGATTCTGTTGTATTTTAAAATACTATCACTTGGGGACTGAGGGTGTAGCTCAGTCGTAAAGTACCTGCCTAGAATGCAGGAAGTCCTAGATTTTGTCCCCAGTACCGCAAACATGAGGCCTGGTGACACAAACTTGTCGTCACAGTACTCCAGAGCTAGAGACTGGAGGATCACATTCAAGGTCAGTGATTAGAAGGTCAGTCTGAGCTAAGACACATTGTCTCAATGTTATCATCGCTCACCGTCGTCGTCATCTTGATCAGAGGCCAGGTTGTAACTTACTGGTAGAGAACTTGCCCAGGATGGGCAAGAACCTGAGTTCAATGTCCAAGACCTCTCCCCCCACCAAAAAAATCTCAATTTAATTTGACTCACAATATGACTTTGAGGTTGACAAGGTTACCTTTGTTCTTACCTCAGCTAGGAAAATAATAGGACTGTGTACCCAATCCATCATAAAGCTCACACCAGGAACCAGGCCTGTTGACCCCTCAGCTGCCTGCTATTACCTCTTGCCGGGAGTGATCCTACACTTGTTTGCCAGATGCCAATGGTGTGGAGGGGAAAGGAAGAACCAACACGTTAAGGAGGCCTCTGCCTGGAGAGTTTGGGAGTCTGGGTGGGAAAGAAAAGAAGGAGAAGAAATAATGGGGACCACGGCACAAAGCAGAGGAGGGGAGGCTAGCCAGCGTTCTTCCATCTTTCAGACCGGACGTATCACCCCTGCAGAACAGCTTCACAGCATCCAGGCTTCCTGTGTGAGGACCGCACGACTTGCTTGCTGCCTTCTCTGCTTTGTGATGGCAAGATGGACTGCGAGGATGGCGGGGATGAGTCTGCCGCCTACTGTGGTGAGGGGACTGTAGTGGTTGTTTTTAGTCTCTTACTCTTTAGGGCCCACCACCCAGCTCCCAAATAAATCACACAGAGTCCTATTACTTATTAATGCCCCGCCTTAGCTTGGCTTGTTTCTAGCCAGCTTTTCTAACTTAAATGATCCCATCTCCCTTTTGCCTTTGGGCTTTTGTAGATGTAACCAATCGTTTTATTAAAATAAGAAACACAGAGCCAATGTAAAAGAGAAAGCCGAGAGGTCAGAGCTCAGAGATAAAATCTTACCTCCTGCAGTGCTCCTAGCTTCCCCGAGAGAGAGCTACTTCCTGTTTGTCTGTCTTTAAATAGTCTTTCTGTTCTGACTTCTCATTGGTTGTAAACCCAAACACATGACTGCCTCATCACTGCCTGTAAGTACCGCCCTCCAGGTCTTAAAGGCGTATGTCTCCAATACTGGCTGTATCCCTGAACACACAGAAATCTACCTAGCTCTTCTAACCACCACGCTCTTGCTATGGCTCTAATAGCTCTGACCCCAGGGCAACTTTATTTATTAACATAAAATTAAAATCACATTTCAGTACAAATAAAATATCACCATAGGCTTTTATCTTTCTCTCTTCTAGATATCTTTCTTTACCTCTTACTCAGTGCCTGGCTATGTAGCTGGCCCCTGGTGTCCTCTCTCCTTCTTCTTTCCTCACTCCCTGATCTCTCTCTTCCTAGATTTCTCCTCCCATTTATTCTCTCTGCCTGCCAGCCCCGCCTACTTCTCTCTCCTGCCTGACCAATCAGGTGTTTTAGACAGCCAAAGTAAGACAGCTTCACAGAGTTAAACAAATGCAACATAAAAGAATACAACACATCTTTGCATCCTTAAACAAATATTCCACAGCATAAACAAATGTAACACATCTTCAACTACTATTCCAGAGTGGCCAGGGCTGGGCAGTGTGGTGCATGCATTTGGGAGGCAGAGGCAGGTGGGTCTCTGAGTTCAAGGCTAGCCCCAGCTAGATCTACACAGTAAGACCCTGTCTGTAAAGGAGTTGTGGTAGTAGTAGTAGTAGTAGTAGCAAACATTTTCATGAATAAGTTTTCCATTAGAATTAATGTATTTGTACAATATAGGTCAAATGCCCAGCAGTCTCCCACAGAACTTGATTTTCAAGTGTCCCAACCGGAAGACATGGATATATGTGGACAGGGTCTGTGACATAAGGAATGACTGTGGGGACTGCTCGGATGAATCAGGTAAAAATGAAAAGCCCACAGTTGATCCTTCTAATGGTTTTGGGAGTGGCCACCCTGACACTTCAATTACATAAGTAAGCTCCAACTTAGACACCTTCTGAAGGGTGTTTACATCCACAGACAAGAGACTCCGCCACTCCCTGGGTTGCAGGCAGCTCTGAGGTGGAGAGCAGGCTCGGCAGGCTGAGGGTTGTCCTGGCTTGTGTTCCTAGCCCCACCACGGAACCCGAACAAATAGGAAGGAGGGAGGAAAGGAGAGAAGAAAGGAGGGTGGGAGGAGGAAGTGGAGGGGAAGGAGGAGGAAGTGGAGGGGAAGGAGGAGGAAATGGAGGGGAAGGAGATTAAGAAGAGGGAGGAAGAAATTGAGGGGAAGGAGGAGGAAGTGGAGGGAAAGGAGGAGGAAATGAAAAGGAAGGAGGAGGAAATGGAGGAGGATATGGAGGGGAAGGAGGAGGAAGAGGGCAGGAACTACATGATGTCATTAGTTCATGTCTGTTTAAAGTAGACGAGTTCTCCAGCAAAGACGTCAACAAAGTCACTTTTACAAGAAAAGGTTCTCAATAGAAGAAAGCTCTT